ACTCTTTCGCCGCTGCATCCCGTATAACATCGGCCCGCAAATATCAAATCCAAATAATTCAACAATCAAAAACAAACTGAATTATTCAAATCAACCATAATACAATAATCATCCACATTACAAATAATTATTCAAATCACCGTAGCAAACTTAAATAATGCAATACAAAACTTGTCATGAATACAAATACAAATGAATACAAAAATTAGTCACTGTCTAGCCCTTTGCCAATGGTGCTCAATGAGATCCTCCTGAAGTTGAAAGTGTGTGTCTGCATTTTTAATCTCCTTGTATGTCTGAAGAAAAGCTCTAATGCGGTTTGGGTCTCTAGCTGGTTTGACACGGCTACCCACATTGTCATAAAAGAATTCTGAGTTCATTCCTCTCTAAATCCATTTAAGCCCGCGACATTCCTTCTTTGAGTAAAATACCGGCAATTTTCTCCGCAAGCTTGAACAAGTTTCACAAAGAGGGATCGACGCATTCGGTACCTTCTCCGGAAGAGGTGCGGAGGATATTTAGGATTCTTCGCGAAATAGTCTTGGATCAACATCTCGTTCCCAAGATGGCGATTTCGAGGAATGCATAGACGCCCAACAGTTGATCCTCGCCTCCTCTTCTGGTGCTCGTCTTCATGCTCCTTCACGGCAAGCGCCATGACTGATGTTTGCTGTCGGAAGGTCGCAAGCATGGTCTCAACATCCAAGTCGTCCGAATCGAACGAATCGGAGAGCAAGAACTTCTCGCACGGGCTCAACTCCATCTACACGCATACCGGCGCGTCAATCAACTACACAACTCGCAAAATTTACAAAAAAGGACCAACCGGTGGTGGGTGATCCCAGGCGGCGACGAGGGTGGGCGCTCGACGGTGGTCGATCCCCGGCGGCGGCGACGACGATGGGCGGCTCTTCTCGCCGGATCCAGGAGGGTCGGTGCAGCGGATCGGCGCGGGAGGGTGTGGGACGTCCCCGCGGCGCGATTCCGCCCGCAGATATGGCCAGAATCGCCGGCGGCGAGCGGGTGGAAGCAAGGGCGGGCGGCGGAGAAAGAAGGGGGAAAGCGCGCGGGGCTGAAATGTCCCTCCCGTCAACTGCTTCTCTCCTACGCAGGGCACCGCAGCCGCGAGGGGGAAACCTGAATTTTCCCGGGTTGGGGTCGGGATTTTGCCGCGCCCCCTAAAATTTTTTGCGGGCCGGGGGGATACGGGATCTGGTCGAGTAGGTTTTCCGGCCCGGGGGGATACGGGATCTGGTCGAGCAGGTTTTCCGGCCCGTATCCACATTTTGACGATTATTTTGCGGGTGAGAACGGATGCGGGGTGCGCTAAAGTTGCTCTTAAAGGACACAGGTAGCAGCCGGCGAAGCCTTCATGGCCTGCAATCATGATAAGGATTTCCGCCATCGTCCGCGAAACAAAAATTACACTAATATTCATTACTTTAATAACTGTGTTAGTTTAATTTTTCAGTTCGTGGACAAGCGGACATCCCTAAGCCACGAGATCTGTTCACTTCTTCAGAACTCTTGTTATCTGATACAAGAAGAAAGATTGCTTTATGCAACACTCTAGAATTCAGAATACCGCACGTTCTTCACGATCTTGGTTGTGGCTAAATGGATAAGATTGAGACTTTGAGAGGCAGACCATTTGAACTCAGCAAGCAACGATCAGGCATCAGATAAAGGCACGCTAACTGGTACGGTACACTGTCGTTTTTCCGCACCGCAACGAAAATAAACTAGTGGCCTATGTCACTTTCTTTAATTGACGAAGCTGGGGCTGGGGCCAAGTTTTTTCTTAACAAAAAGGTTTTTTTTTTCGAGAGTACGCAAAATGGGTACCATAGCTTTATAGAAGAAGAGAAAACAATTACAAGACAACTAACACTTGCTGCGAACAACAAGCATAGCACCAACTCCACATCCGGCTAGTCCAAAGACAACCACCAACGACCACACAACTACAAAGCAAAAGAGCCTGCTCAACACCGAAAACATTGCCGCGTCTCGACCGACAACGGTCACCACCGAAGAGCAGCAACTTCCACCAAGCATCTCTTGTCGACGCACCATCCTCCCTTGATGCCTAGGAGATAGCAAGAGGACGGCAGGATCCGATCTGACCCAAGGAAGACGCCGTCTTGAAATCACCGCGAGGATCGTGCATAGCGCCGAAGTGAACGATTATGGGCAGCTGCGAACACCGGGGAGCGCAACAAGGGACAACCAGACCATGTCTCCTAGCACGATGCACCCAACAGAGGGACGCCGTTGAAGACGCCGCCATCGTGCCGACCCAGCACCGGATCAAGGCTTTCGCCAGGAGACAATTGCCAACACCAAGCGAGCGAGGGAGATGGCGACACACTCGGCTACGCCTCCAAAGAGGGAAACGACACCCACGGGTGCCATCGCCGCCGGCCCGGCCATAACCGGACATGACTTTCATCCGTAATGCCACGCATCTCCGCACCTCCAGGTATAGGCAGAGCCGACCAAGAAGTCTCGCACCGCCGTCACCGCAGCAACTTGCCATCGAAGCCGTGCAGCCAAGGTCCTCCCACACCCGCACTGCCGAGAGAACGCGACCAACAGCCACAAACCACCCAGACGAGGAGCTGCAGCAGCTAACCATGCCGTGCAAGGGCTGAATCCAGCACGACGGCCTTCACCCGCTTCAGGTGACTGCCGCGCAACGAACTCAACCCCAAGGCCAGATTGAATCTGGGGGAAATCCGATCTGGCCAGCACCTCCCTCCCCAACTCCGGCGCCATCGCATCCGGGAGCAACCCAGCGCGCCCAGCACCCTGAGGCGGCCGGCCGCCTGCTGCCCGCCATGGACTCCCTCCTAGCAAGGCCTCGCAGCGCCGCCGCCGCCAAAGCCCGGAGCTCGCGCCGTCGCCCCCATCTAAGCCGGCGCCCCAGCCTCCGACACCACTCTGCTACGGTCATGGCCCGAGTCCACCTCTCCGCCGCGCCTCCGCCGTGCGCCAGCGACAGCCGCCGCGGATCCCACTGCCCCCGCCGCCGGCCAACACACCACCAGGCAGCCCCGAAGACGTCCACTCCGCGCGAAGGGGCCCGTCGGGGGGTGCGCCTCCAGCACCCGCCGCCTTCGACGGCCGGGCGCGGCTGCCCGGCGGCGATGGCAGTGGTCGGGGCGGTGGATCTGGGCCTCTTTTGTTTAGGGTTTGGGGGGCCTCTGGAGCCGCACGCGCGTGCGACCCGGGAGGCGTTTCGGGAGGAGACTAGAGAATACAATTACATTTACTTAACAAAAAGGTAAACAGGGGAAAAGTACAGCGTCGTGTTTTTCCTGTGGAAAGTTTACAGGGCAGAGCATGCTCGGTCTCAGGCCGAGACCAACAAACAGTAGGCATTCCTGCACGGCAGTCGGCAGGGCACAAACATCATACTCCATACAGACCTGTACAACTGAGCAGGCATGCACCTCAGTTCGAGTCTGAACTTCTTTCACATGGCACAGGCATGTGTTTTCTACTGTTCCCACACCGAGCGGTAGAAAAAAAAATTGTGCTGCCTGTTTGCTCCGGGCAGGAGAGGAAGAACGGCAATGGGCAAAAACGGCGGGGCTTTCGTTCAAACGAACGATGGGGAAGCAAGCAGGACGACGAGGCAGAGAAAGCAAAAGCAGCACGTAACAAGCCAACCTTGCTTTGTTTTCAGTTTCAGCCATCAGTCCACGCTTTCTCCTCTGCTTTGTCTCCTCCCTTTGCTCCCACTGCTCTTCCGCGAATTGACGAATCATGAGTGTGCGTGAGCGTATCGCGCATGGGGCCTATGAATTCTGAACTCCTCATGCCTGCCCTGCCTGCCGCCAGGGGCTTTCGAAAACCCATGCTGCATGCACGCAGACGACAGACATAATTAGCGCCGGGCAGAGTTCAGATGATCATGCCTGTCTCCTGCCCGTGCCGGCGCTGTCTCGCTTTCCATTCTCCCACATTGCCTTCTCTCTAGGATAGGAACTACTACTGCACAGTAGTGCAGTGCAAGTAGTTCATAAAGCTTGAGCTCTAGTCCCAGTAGCGGCAACAAGCACTTGCACCCTTTAAGATCGCCCCTGCAAGCTCACACACTGCTCTCAGCACAGGCTGACACGAGGAGCTCAAGTCGAAGTTGTAGCTAGCGAGAAGCCAAGAAGCCAGTCATGGGATGGGGAAGCAGGAAACAGCAGCACGGGACGCCGCAACGCGCATCGGGGCTAGGAGGAGAGATCGGCGAACGCAAGGGCGGTGGCAAGAGCAAGGCCTTCTCCTTCTCCTTCTTGCCGCTTTCGTGGCTCTCCAAGCTCGCCACGAAGCCCAAGCGCGCGCCCGCGTCCACGCACGAGGGCCGCGGAGGCGCTGGCGCTGATGCCGCCCCGCCGTTCAAGTCGGGCCTTCCGGAGCGCGCCGCCAGCCCGGCAAAGGTGGCGATCGCGCCCGCGGGCCGGCTCAGCTCGCCCTCGCCGCGTCGCTCTCCCGCTGTTCTGCGGCGGCTCTTTGCTGGCAACGACAACGCCGACGCCGTGGCCGCGCGCGGGCGCCATCGCCCTGCCGCAGCCGTCGCTGCCGCCGAAGAAGTCGTACCAAGGCGGCTCTCTGTTGGCAACGACAGCGCCGACGCCGTCGCCCCGCGCCGTCACTGCAGACCCCGGCGCCACTGCTCCCTCGGCGGTGACCGTGACCTCCAGGCGCCGCTCGGCAAACACATCCCCTTCTCCCTCGCCGGCTCCCCAGCGCAGCCACCGCCTTCAGCACAGACGGCAGCGGCCGCGGCACCGTCGGACACGGACGGCGGGGGCGCTCGGCTGAGGCGTCGGCACCGTGGCCGCCGGCACCGGCGCAGCGTCAGCGGCGGCCGTAGGTCGTCGTTCTCCGGAAAGGTGACGCTGAGGGTGAAGGTGCGGTCGCCGCGGCGGTCGGCGCCGGAGCTGGAGAGCCTCGCCGTGGTGCGACGGACGCGGGACCCGCAGAGGGCGTTCAGGGAGTCGATGTACGAGATGATCGCGAGCAGCGGAGGGACCGACGCCCGGCCGGAAGAGCTGGAGCGGCTGCTGGCGTGCTACCTCGCCCTCAACGCCGACGAACACCACGACTGCATCGTCAAGGTCTTCCGCCAGGTCTGGTTCGACCATGTCAACCTGCCGCCGCCTCGACGGGGCAGGGACCGGGAGGAACACCCCGGACGGCACGCGAGGCCGTAAATTCTCTAACGCAAGCAGTTGCTGTATGCATGTACATTACGTACGTTTTTATGCCGGATTTACCTTGGAATTTTCGTAAATCTCTGTCACTCCAAAATTCTAAAAAAAAAGGCTCGCCAGCCTGAAACGCAGAGACAATTTACCGTGCTACGATGAAAATAGGGAAACGTTTAAAAACAACCGGACAGAAATCATCCGCTTCACCTGGACGCCACGCGTCCTGGTGGACCTGCACGCATGACGTTCTTTCCTGCCGGGCCACTCGTTTCTTAGAGCATCTCCAACAGACACGCGGTAGTCCCGTAATAACTAACTCGCCCAAAAAAGTAGGATCGCATCGGGCGATCAAGGAGGCGACCGGGATCCCTTGCGCGCCGCCGGTGACGCCGCCGGTTCCCTCTCTCTCCGTCGGCCGCTTCGGCGACGGGAGGGAGGGGGAACCCCGGGTCTGTTCGCTAGGTGGGTGTGTGGTAGGGTTAGGGTTGAGGGAGACGCTCCCGAGGCCGTTGCGGTGGTGTCGCGTTGGAATAAGTTTCTCCGGGTTCCGTTCGCGGTTAGGCGAGGCTTTTGCCTTCGTCTAGGAGCCAGCGGTGTTGGGGATCCCCGGACCTCGTCGAGGTCGCGGGCTATGGTGGTTGGAGGTCCATCGACACTGGCTGTTTGGATCCTCAGATGGGCGATGTGTTGGGGAACGTTGCAGAAAATAAAATTTTTCCTACGATTTCACCAAGATCCATCTATGAGTTTATCTAAGCAACGAGTGAAAGGAGAGATGCATCTACATACCACTTTGTAGATCGCGAGCGGAAGCGTTCAAAAGAACGGGGTTGAAGTAGTCGTTCTCGTCGTGATCCTATCACCGGAGATCCTAGCGCCGAACGGACGGCACCTCCGCGTTCAACACACGTACGGTCAGCGTGACATCTCCTCCGTCTTGATCCAGCAAGGGGAAGGAGAGTTGATGATGATCCAGCAGCACGACGGCGTGGTGGTGGATGCAGCAGAACTCCGGCATGGCTTCGCCAAGCTGCTGCGGGAGGAGGACGAGGTGTAGCAGGGGGAGGGAGGCGCCAAGACTTGGGTGCGGCTGCCCTCCCCCCTGCCCTCCTTTATATAGGCCCCCAGGGGGGGCGCCGGCCCTGGGAGATGCAATCTCCCAAGGGGGGCGACGGCCAGGGGGGGTGGAGTGCCCCCCAAGGCAAGTGGTGCGTCCCCCCCACCTAGGGTTTCCAACCCTAGGCGCAGGGGGGCCCAAGGGGGGGCGCACCAGCCCACTAGGGGCTGGTTCCCCTCCCACTTCAGCCCACGGGGCCCTCCGGGATAGGTGGCCCCACCCGGTGGACCCCCGGGACCCTTCCGGTGGTCCCGGTACAATACCGGGTGACCCCGATGTTGGGGAACGTAGTAATTACAAAACTTTTCCTACGCACACGCAAGATCATGGTGATGGCACAGCAACGAGAGGGGAGAGTGTTGTCCACGTACCCTCGTAGACCATAAGCGGAAGCGTTAGCACAACGCGGTTGATGTAGTCGTACGTCTTCACGATCCGATCGATCCAAGTACCGAACGTACGGCACCTCCGAGTTCAGCACAGGTTTGAAGGAAATATGCCCTAGAGGCAATAATAAAGTTATTATTTATTTCCTTATATCATGATAAATGTTTATTATTCATGCTAGAATTGTATTAACCGGAAACTTGATACATGTGTGAATACATAGACAAACATAGTGTCACTAGTATGCCTCTACTTGACTAGCTCGTGAACAAAAGATGGTTAAGTTTCCTAGCCATGGACAAAAGAGTTGTCATTTGATTAACGGGATCATATCATTAGGAGAATGATGTGATTGACTTGACCCATTCCGTTAGCTTAGCACTTGATCGTTTAGTATGTTGCTATTGCTTTCTTCATGACTTATACATGTTCCTATAACTATGAGATTATGCAACTCCCGTTTACCGGAGGAACACTTTGGGTGCTACCAAACGTCACAACGTAACTGGGTGATTATAAAGGAGTACTACAGGTGTCTCCAAAGGTACATGTTGGGTTGGCGTATTTTGAGATTAGGTTTTGTCACTCCGATTGTCGGAGAGGTATCTCTGGGCCCTCTCGGTAATGCACATCACTACAAGCCTTGCAAGCAATGTAGCTAATGAGTTAGTTACAGAATGATGCATTACGTAACGAGTAAAGAGACTTGCCAGTAACGAGATTGAACTAGGTATTGGATACCGACGATCGAATCTCGGGCGAGTAACATACCGATGACAAAGGGAACAACGTATGTTGTTATGCGGTTTGACCGATAAAGATCTTCGTAGAATATGTAGGAGCCAATATGAGCATCCAGGTTCCGCTCTTGGTTATTGACCAAGAATAGTTCTAGGTCATGTCTACATAGTTCTCGAACCCGTAGGGTCCTCACGCTTAAGATTTCGATGACAGTTATATTATGAGTTTATGAGTTTTGATGTATCGAAGGAGTTCGGAGTCCCGGATGAGATCGGGGACATGACGAGGAGTCTCGAAATGGTCGAGACATAAAGATCAATATATTGGACGACTATATTCGGACTTCGGAAAGGTTCCGAGTGATTCGGGTATTTATCTGAGTACCGGAGAGTTACGGGAATTCGCCGGGGAGAAGTATTGGGCCTTATTGGGCCATACGGGAAAGAGAGAGGGGCTGCCTAGGGCAGGCTGCACGCCCCCCAAGGCCTAGTCCGAATTGGACTAGGGGGAGGGGCCGCACCCCCTCCTTCATTCCCTTCTCTCTTCCCCTTCCTTCTCTCCTACTCCTACTAGGAAATGAGGAGTCCTACTCCCGGTGGGAGTAGGACTCCCCCCTTGGGCGCGCCTCCTCCTCCTTGGCCGGCCCTCCTCCCCTTGCTCCTTTATATACGGGGGCAGGGGGGCACCCCATAAAACACAAGTTGATCTACGGATCGTTCCTTAGCCGTGTGCGGTGCCCCCCTCCACCATATTCCACCTCGGCCATATCGTCGTGGAGTTTTGGCGAAGCCCTGCGCCGGTAGAGCATCATCATCGTCACCACGCCGTCGTGCTGACGGAACTCATCCCCGAAGCTTTGCTGGATCGGAGCCCGGGGATCGTCATCGAGCTGAACGTGTGCTGAACTCGGAGGTGCCGTACGTTCGGTACTTGGATCGGTCGGATCGTGAAGACGTACGACTACATCAACCGCGTTGTCATAACGCTTCCGCTTACGGTCTACAAGGGTACGTGGACAACACTCTCCCCTCTTGTTGCTATGCCATCACCATGATCTTGCGTGTACGTAGGAAATTTTTTGAAATTACTACGTTCCCCAACAAAGTTCAGCTCGATGACGATCCCCGGGCTCCGATCCAGCAAAGCTTCGGGGATGAGTTCCGTCAGCACGACGGCGTGGTGACGATGATGATGCTCTACCAGCGCAGGGCTTCGCCTAAACTTCGCGACGATATGACCGAGGTGGAATATGGTGGAGGGGGGCACCGCACACGGCTAAGGAACGATCCATAGATCAACTTGTGTGTCCATGGGGTGCCCCCCGCCCCCGTATATAAAGGAGCCAGGGGGGAGGAGGCGGCCGGCCAAGGAGGGCGCGCCAAGGGGGGAGTCCTACTCCCACCGGGAGTAGGACTCCCTTCTTTCCTAGTTGGAATAGGAGAAGGGGGAAAGAGGAGGAAGAGGGGAAGGAAAGGGGGGGCGCCGCCCCCTTCCCTTGTCCTATTCGGACTAGGAAGGGGAGGGGCGCGCGACCCCCTCCTGCCTCCTTCCCTCTTCTCCCTCGAGGCCCATGTAGGCCCAATAACCCCCCCCGGGGGGGGGGTCCGGTAACCTCCCGGTGCTCCGGTAAAATGCCGATTTCACCCGGAACGATTCCGATGTCCAAATATAGGCTTCCAATATATCGATCTTTATGTCTCGACCATTTCGAGACTCCTCGTTACGTCCGTGATCACATCCGGAACTCCAAACAAACTTCGGTACATCAAAACTTATGAACTCATAATAAAACTGTTATCGTAACGTTAAGCGTGCGGACCCTACGGGTTCGAGAACTATGTAGACATGACCTAGAACTATTCTCGGTCAATAACCAATAGCGGAACCTGGATGCCCATATTGGTTCCTACATATTCTACGAAGATCTTTATCGGTCAAACCGCATAACAACATACGTTGTTCCCTTTGTCATTGGTATGTTACTTGCCCGAGATTTGATCGTCGGTATCCAATACCTAGTTCAATCTCGTTACCGGCAAGTCTCTTTACTCGTTCCGTAATGCATCATTCCGTAACCAACTCATTTGGTCACATTGCTTGCAAGGCTTATAAAGATGTGCATTACCGAGAGGGCCCAAAGATACCTCTCCGACAATCGGAGTGACAAAACCTAATCTCGAAATACGCCAACTCAACATGTACCTTCGGAGACACCTGTAGTATTCCTTTATAATCACCCAGTTACGTTGTGACGTTTGGTAGTACCCAAAGTGTTCCTCCGGTAAACGGGAGTTGCATATTTCTCATAGTTACAGGAACATGTATAAGTCATGAAGAAAGCAATAGCAATATACTAAACGATAAGTGCTAGGCTAACAGAATGGGTCATGTCAATCACATCATTCTTCTAATGATGTGATCCCATTAATCAAATGACAACACATGTCTATGGTTAGGAAACATAACCATCTTTGATTAATGAGCTAGTCAAGTAGAGGCATACTAGTGACTATATGTTTGTCTATGTATTCACACATGTATCATGTTTCCGGTTAATACAATTCTAGCATGAATAATAAACATTTATCATGATATGAGGAAATAAATAATAACTTTATTATTGCCTCTAGGGCATATTTCCTTCAGTCTCCCATTTGCACTAGAGTCAATAATCTAGATTACATAGTAATGATTCTAACACCCATGGAGTCTTGGTGCTGATCATGTTTTGCTCGTGAGAGTGGCTTAGTCAACGGGT